CCAGGGATGATGCTAAATGTCCTGTAACATACAGGACAGTCCCCCACATCTAAGGATTATTAGGTCCAAAATGTCAATTGTTCCAAGACTGAGAAACTCTGGTCCATACAAATTCTAAAATACCCAATGCTCAGAATGTGTTTAAATCTGGATTCAACTGTCTGCTTGGACCCCAAAATTACCTAAAGTAGAGCTCACAAGTGTATTCAAACACTTATGAATAAAAACCATTATAAAAATAAACCAGTGGTCAAAAATAAAAATTATAGGGGCACTGGGCAGCTGAGTCAGTTAAGTGTCCAACTTTGGCTCATATCACGATCTCGAGCTTCCTGAGTTTGAGCCCTGCCTGTCAGGCTCTGTGCCATCAGGCTCTGTGCTGACAGCTTGGAGCCTGGAGCCTGCTTCAGATTCTCTCTGCCCCTCCCCTGCTCACACTCAGCCTCTCTCTATCCCTCAAAAATAAACATTAAAAGAAACATTTTAATAAAAAATAAAAATTATAAAGCCATTATAAAATGAATTCTACATCTAAGTTACTCCAACAGAAAAACAACACCCTTTAAAGTACAGTGGGAAACTCTATAAAGTTCAAGACTCAGAGAGTCAATCTACTCCCAGATGATTGTTCTACAAAGAAAGATGCCAAGTGCTCTGACAAATAGAAAGATGCCAACTTCACATGGAAACGATCACGTTTCCCAGCTACAAGCTTTTATAGTTGCAAAAAAGGGGAGCAAGAAAGATCATGACACATATTACTAATTGCAATCCAGTTCCATTAATATTCCTGTCAATATCATGCTTTAATTTTGCCCTTCAAGAAAACTCATCTGCAGAATAAGTTCTGAAAACAGACTTTATCCAAAGGCTCACTATTTTGCTGTAAAATTGCTACTGACCCAATTTACCAAAGACATGGAAAAACTCAAGCAAGATGTTCTTTTTCATTTCAGTTTCTAGAAAAACAGATTGACTTTAAGTATTGTCATTTCTCATCTTTCCCCTACAAACACAACTAATGTGACAGAATGTTCACGTGACTTACAATTTTGTCTGACCCATAGATCTTCTCCAACTGTTCAGCAACATCCCTTGTTCCATCTGGGCTTCCATCATCTATGATTATAATTTCATAGCTGATTCCACTAAAATAAAAAAAAAGTTTGTATTGCTTGCAGAGACAATACTCTCCAATTAAAAAATAACTTTAAAATTACTATTTCCTCACCAATATAAGTGGGAATTTATGTCATATTATTCACCAAAGAAAACTTCAATTACCAAATGAAACAAATGTCAAACATTTAGTACTTTACCTCCAAACTTGGCAGTCTATGGATAAAAACATTACAATGAAGTCCTGAGATAAAAAAAAATTCTCAAATCAAAAACACACTCTTTAGTTTAAAAACTCACAGCGATTACATATACATCTGTCCATTATATACCATAGGATATCATAAAATTTTACTTACCTACTTTGGAAGTGGTATTATAGAACCTTAGCATCAAGTCTTAGTTATAAAAAATATTTCAAAAGTACATTTAAAAGATATCTCAAGGGGCACCTGGGTGGCTCAGTCAGTTGAGCGTCTGACTTCAGCTCAGGTTATGATTTTGCGGTTCATGAGTTCGAGCCCCACGTCAGGCTCTGTGCTGACAGCTCAGAGACTGGAGCCTGCTTCAGATTCTGTGTCTTCCACTCTCTCTGCCCCTCCCCAGGCTGGCGCTTTGTCTCTGTCTCTCAAAAAAAAAAAAAAAAAAAAAAAAAAAAAAAGCTTCAAAAAAAAAGATATCTCAAGTTGACTGAGTTGCTGAGTTAATATTCTTTTATTTATTTTTAATGTTCTATTTGAGAGAGACAGTGTGCATTGGGGTGGAGGGGGGGGGTGGTGCTGGTGAAGCAGAGAGAAGGGAAGACAGAATCCCAAGCAGACTCCACGCACTCAGCATGGAGGCAGAGGCCCAAGCAGGCCTCTAACACACAAACCGCGAGATCATGACTTGAGCAGAAATCAAGAGTTGGCCACAACCCATTGAGCCACCTTAGACTGAATATTCTTTTCAATTTAATCCCAAATAAATTTAAATAACATAATCAGGAACAAATAGGATTTCATTTCATCTGTCAAAAAACCCTCTTTAAAATGGTGACATAATCTTTACACCACTATTTCAAATAGTTGTACCATTATCTCACGTCATTAGAAAGAGCACAGAAAATTACATAAGATTTTAATGTGCTTCAAAATTAAAATCTCTCTGCTGGCTCTCCATTAACTTTATGTTACAGTTTCTATTCTAAAGATAAGCCAACACAATACTTGGATGTACATGTGATCACTGCATCTTCCTCCACCCCCCTTTTGGATTTTTTTTGGATAACTTTATTGGGAAACTTAAGGACAAAGTAAAGGAAGCACACCAAACCCCCACAACACTGTTTCTTCTTGGTCTTAATAAACATATGTAAGGAAATCAGCAAGAAAACATTCATTCTGTTAAAAGGCTTTCAAAAGTCAGCCCCAAAATCCAAAAAGCAGGGTAAAATCAGCCCATCTGTTAAGCCTTCTCCGCTAGGTGCTTTAGTACTTAACAAGCCAAAACCTGTTAAGATGTTGATTCCAGTTGATATGCTGAAAGAGATATACTTCATAAAGAAATGAAGTCATTCATAAGCAAATTATTCCTTTCTCTCATTTCAAAGTGCCCAGAACACCTGAGGGTAAGGGTAGTTTAAAGGAATCAAGCTAAACTCCCTTTAAGTAATCTGACCATATCTGAAAATAGTTGTTTCCTTCATTAAACATCACTCAGATTAAAGTAAAAAATATTTGAGAATCAGAAGACAAAATAAACAAGATCAACTATATTAAGATAATTTCTCTAATTTGCAAAGTGGTTGTAAAAACCAAAATAAAAAATAAAGAAAAAGATATGAGTACAAAAACTGCAAGAAGCCACGTACATCAACACAGTTAGTTACAGGGCGCCTGGGTGGCTGAGTCGGTTAGCGTCTGATTCTTGATTTCGGCTTAGGTAATTTCATGATTCGTGAGTCTGAGCTCCACGTTGGGCTCTGTGCTGGCAGTGTGGGGCCTGCCTGGGATTCTCTCTCTCTCTCTCTCTCTCTCTCTCAAAATAAATAAAATAAATTTTTTTAAAAAAGCAATATTTTTCATCAATTAGCATTTTCAAAAACGTTAAGTTTGATAAAGCTCAGGTTGGCTGGTTGATAGGGAAACAGGCACTCTCCAAATAATGCTAGTCCTAAGGTGGTACGATCATTTTTTCTGCGAGCAATTTGTTGATTTTTATATTTTTGAGAGAGAGAGAGAGAGAGAGAGAGAGAGAGAGTAGGGGAGGGGCAGAGAGAGAGGGAGACAGAAGATCCAAAGTGGGCTCTGCACTGAGGGCAGGTATGGGGGTGGCAGTCAAGAGCTGCGAGATCATGACCTGGGTTGAAGTCAGATGCCCAACCGACTGAGCCACCAGGTGCCCCTAAAGCTTTTTTAGTTTTTTTAGTTGTTTTTTTTTTTTTTTGAGAGAGAGCAAGGGTGACCATGCAAGCAGGAGAGGGAATAACTGTCCATTTTAAGCACATCAGTTGACCCAGTAATTCCATCCTGAAGACTTTATCCCCAGTACACTAGTAAAAGTATGAGCATGTTTGCTGTAACAGTCATTTAATAAAGGAGCATTCAGTGTGTGTCAAGCGCTCTTCTAAATGCTGGACAATATGGTGTGAACAAAGTACCTGTTTTCATTCGTAAAACAAAAGTCAAAAAAGAAAAACAAGAAAGCTCTAGAAATAATCTGTGTTCACGGAGATGACCTGGTTAAATTATAACACAGCCATATAGAAAGTTACTTAATTTTCGAAGTTTGTATGTGTTGATACAGAAAGATCTTCATCTATACGCGATCCCACTGGATCTAAAACAAGCTACTTCATACTGATACCAGGATCTTCCGAAATCTTAAAAACATTGTATAACACTTTCAAATTCAAACTCTAAAAACCCCAGTTTCTAGCAACCACACCAAACATCCACTAGTGACCAACGAAGTTGCCCAGGCCAGCAGCAGCTCCCTAACCCACAGAGATCAAACCTCATGCTTACATAAGCACTCAGCACGGGGGCGGGAGTGAGCGTGCTCGGTTAGTCTCCCGGCTCCTGCCGCATCCTGACCACCCAGAAGTAGGAGTGAGGTCAAGCTTTCAACCTCGCTCCGACTGAAAAGGTGGACAACGCTACTAAGAAAAAGACAACCAGGGGCGTGGGGTGGGGTTGGGGGACAGAGGATGGGAGTGTACAATAAAAGGAACGTCTCATAAAACCCAAGGGCAAGAATGAGAACCCGAGACACAGAATGAACCCCAGAAGTATCCGCCGCCTCTTTCTCGCAGGGTGGCCTTCTCCCCGAGGCTTCCCTCAAGAGCCGAAGGGAGGCCTGCAGGGACTCCTCGCGCAGCCAACTGCCGACACCCAGGCCGGCGAAGCCAGCTCATCTCATTCCTCAGGGAGGGCGGCAGGGCACGCTACCTCTCGGAGAAGCTTTTCACCAGCAGCCACACGATGAGCGGTAGGTTCTCGCGCTCGTTGTAAGTGGGCAAAAGCACCGAATACTTGTCCTGTCGCAGGACGCGCCCCTCCGGCTCCCGCCGAGACCTACGAGGGCTACCGCTCGCTTCCTCGGAGGCCATGGCGGAACTGCGCGAGACGCCGGAAACGGAATGACGTCACGTGGCGCGGGAAGGGGCGGGTCGGACCGTACCAAATTCGGGAAGAGGGAGACAGTCCATGTGGCCAGGTTCTAGTTCTCCTAAGGCCCTCCTCATGGTTCCGTTGGAAATATCCAGGAGCTATAAATCTTTAAACTTGAATCTTAGGGTTTCTTCAGGAAGTGCATGTCTAGTTTTCGCTTTTTTCCCCAGCTCCGTAAAATTATTTAGTTTATTCCAGTCGCTAGGAGACGGCAAGCCGGAAGCGGAAATGCTCTTCAGGACAACTTCCGGGAGGGGCGCCATGGCTTCCAGGGCGGAGGTACTCGCCTTGCAGGCTCAAGTTGCCCAGCGCGAGGAGGAGCTGAGTTTCCTGAAGCAGAAGCTGGCGGCGGCTATTTTGGCGGAGCAGGAGCCAGAGCGGCTGGTTTCGGTATCACCCCTGCCGCCGAAGGCCTCCCTGTCTCGAGATGAGATTTTGCGCTATAGCCGGCAGTTGGTGCTTCCTGAGCTGGGCGTGCAGGGACAGCTGCGCCTGGCCGCTGCATCGGTGCTAGTAGTGGGCTGCGGTGGGCTCGGCTGCCCACTGGCGCAGTACCTGGCAGCGGCCGGCGTAGGCCGCCTTGGCCTTGTGGACTACGACGTAGTAGAAATGAGCAACTTGGCCCGCCAGGTGCTGCATGGCGAGGCACTGGCCGGGCAGGCCAAGGTCTTTTCGGCCGCCGCCTCGCTGCGCCGCCTCAATTCGGCGGTGGAGTGCGTGCCTTATGCAGAGGCGCTTACGCCAGCCACGGCGCTAGACTTAGTCCGCCGCTATGACGTGGTGGCTGACTGCTCTGACAACGTGCCCACTCGCTACCTGGTTAGTGACGCATGTGTGCTAGCCGGCCGGCCTCTCGTGTCAGCCAGCGCCCTGCGCTTTGAGGGCCAAATCACGGTCTACCACTATGACGGCGGGCCTTGCTACCGCTGCGTATTCCCTCAGCCACCTCCAGCGGAGACGGTGACCAACTGCGCGGATGGCGGGGTGCTCGGTGTCGTAACCGGGGTCTTGGGCTGCTTGCAGGCGCTGGAAGTATTGAAGATCGCAGCAGGCCTGGGCCCGTCTTACAGCGGCAGCCTGTTGATCTTTGATGCGCTCAGAGGCCATTTTCGTTGTATTCAGCTTCGGGGCCGCAGGCCTGACTGTGCAGCTTGTGGGGAGCGGCCCACAGTGACTGCCCTGCAGGACTACGAAGCCTTCTGTGGCTCCTCAGCCACTGATAAGTGCCGCTCTCTGCAGTTGCTGAGCCCAGAGGAGCGAGTTTCGGTCACCGACTATAAGCGACTTCTGGATTCAGGCTCACCCCACCTGTTGCTGGACGTTAGGCCTCAAGTGGAGGTGGACATCTGTCGTTTGCCTCATGCCTTACACATCCCTTTGAAACGTTTGGAACGGAGGGATGCAGAGAGCCTGGAACTCTTAGGAGAAGCTATCCGGGAAGGGAAGCAGGGCACACAGGAAGGGGCAGCTTTCCCGGTTTATGTGATTTGCAAACTGGGCAATGACTCCCAGAAAGCCGTGAAGATCCTGCAGTCCTTGACAGCAGTCCGGGAGTTAGAATCTTACACAGTTCAAGATGTTGTGGGGGGCCTTATGGCCTGGGCTGCCAAAATCGATGGAGCATTTCCACAGTACTGAGGTGGAAGGGAGAGTCTGACCCGAGGAAGATGGCTGTGTTACCCAAAAGATACATTTATTTGCATTTTTTTCCCAGGAATGTATGGAAGAGCCTGAATACCTCAACTCCTTTATATAAGGGGCTTTGTTGTCGTAACGTATTGGATGCTGTCATTTTCAGTCATATTACTGTTTCTGAGATCTGTCTTGTGTTTTTAGCACTCGGATGAGGTCTTGAACGTGTGACTTATAATGTTAAGTGACAGGGCTTTGCGTTTTGATAGATCGTGTGTCCTTTTTTGTCCACCTCCCTCAATCAAAAAGTACTTTAAATCGTCCGTTTTGATGCTTGGAAAAGTGTTGTAAACGTAGTTTTACTAAATTGATCACAGATGATATACTTAAGGTCAGTTTGATGTTTGCTAAGACATTGTTTGGGTCTTTTTTCTGCTTCAAAGGATAGACTGTATTGCTACCGAAGTAAGTGTTTAAAATGTAAATTATTTTAATTATGTGGGGAAGGGTCATTCTATTAAACATTTCGGATTAATATCAAAGTGACATATTTGTAGTTTAGCAAGATAAAACTTTGTAGTCTGTCAGTTTCTCTTACAAATTGATGATTTAGAAAAAACGTTTCTTATAGTGTTGTATACATGATATACTGCGGTTTGGCTTGCTTTGATATCTTCAAGCTTAAGTCCCAACCTTCTGCCCTCCCCTGTCCTTTTTTCCTTATCCAACCTGTTATTTTTCTTTCTTGCTTTACCGGCCAAGGACCCCAAATACAATACTGAATTAAAGTGGAATAGTGAGCATTCTTATCTCCTTCACAATCAGGTGAAAAACTTGACTATTTGACCAGTATTACTTGTTATTGCTTTACTGGAGATTCCCTTTATCAGATTAAAGAATTTTCCTTCCGTGTATAGTTTGCTAAGCTTTGGTTGAATTCGTCAAGTGCTTTTTCTGCATTATTATGTGCTGCTTTTTTTTCACTTCGGTTAATGCAGTAAACGACATTGATTCTTTTTATGGTGGCAAAACACACACACACACACACACACACACACACACAATTTACCTCTCAATAACTTTCAGGCATACAATACAGTATTGTCAACCACACGCACACGCTGCGCAACTGATCCTGGAGCCCCCATCCCACATGGCTGAAACACCCACCAAACAACTCCCACTTCTCCCCTTCAATTTACTCTTTCTACTTTGATTTAATCTATTTTATTCCAGGATTTTATGGCAGTACAAATTGTAGGTGCTTTTATGTTTATTTACTAAACAACATTTTCATGAGATGGAAGGTAGTCTGCCTAACTTCTAAATACATACAAAATTAAAAGCAAAGATTTGGTGAGTATCTGGGGCAAATTGAGTACATGCCATGTCAAAAGAGCCTCCACTCTCCAGCTGATTGTTGCCTGCGAGTCTGTAATTCTCAGAAATCACAGATGTGTGGAATCTTTGTATCTCTGGCTATGATGTATATACATAGAATATATACAGTATGTATGCAAAGTTTATGCGGGCCAGACAAAACCCTCTGCAGGTCAGATTTACTCAGCAGTCCGCAATCTCTGATATAGACTCTTAGTTTATCATAAAAGGATGGTATTATTTACCAAATGCAAAATTAGGATAGCCCTTACTTTTTAACTGTGAAATACGGTAACCCACATTACAGGAGCAGGTTTCTTGTGCTTTTTCCCCAAGGAGTTGTGGAAATGAATGACTGAGGCCAGGAGAAGAGAACAAAGATAGCAGGCCTGTGTCTCAGCTTCTTACTTCCAGTACAAAAGCTGCTTCTGATCCATATTAAACAATAAAGTGGACGTAGGAACTCCTTGATATTCTAAAGAGTGATGGCCTAAAGTTAAGCAGTTTTGGTAGGCCCTGCAAACTTGGTTGTCAATAGCACAGGTGACTCTAGCTGCTGACGTGGGAAAAGGGCTTATGAAAGTGAGATACGGTGCTTCTAAGTATCTGGGTGAGAGCCTGGGAGCTATTCATTCCAGGAGTGATGGCCAAAGCCATGCACAGAACTGATCTGAGACCACTCGCTGTGCAATGCTGCCCCATCTAGCACTAGGGGGAAACTGCTAGGGTACCTCACTGATCTTACTTGACCTGGCCCGCTACTCTCCCAGAAAGCCCAACACTTTAGCCACAGCTCAGGGCAGAAAGAACCGGCTTTACATCGATTGCTCTTTTTTTTTTTTTTTTTTTTTTTTTTTTTTTTAATCTTTATGTTTGAGAAAGAGAGAGACAGAGCATGAGCGGGGGAGGGGCAGAGAGAGAGAGAGAGAGAGAGAGAGAGGGAGACACAGAATCCGAAGCAGGCTCCAGGCTCTGAGCTGTCAGCACAGAGCCGGACGCAGGGCTCGAACCCACGAACCGCGAGATCATGACCCGAGTCAAAGTCGGACGCTCAGCCAACTGAGCCACCCAGGTGCCTCCATCGATTGTTCTTAGCCTTCTGAGGTATGTCTGTTAGAGTAAATCCTAGTCACATGCCTATATCCTAGTGGCAAGAGCGGCTGGGAATGTGAGTTTTGACATCTACAATCAGAGGCAGAACTCAATCTGGGTTTTTTTTTTTGAAAAGATGGGCTGTTGACATGACAGGTATCTGTTACAGGATCCAGATTTTTTTATTCTTTGCAATTTTGTTTTCTGTGGGGATTGTGGCCAGTTTTTTAATATTCATATGGGATTTTAATTTGTAACTTTTTTCCTTTTCATTTAACACACATCAAGTGTACCAGTCACTATTCTAAACTCTGGGATAAAGAAGAACAAGAGATCTCCTGTTTCAGAATTTACATGTAAATGGGGGGAGACCAATCAACAAGTACATTTGTGTTGAGTGTCATAAACGAAATGAAACTGCTGTTTGGGGGTGGGGAAGGAAGAGCTATTTTGCATCATTAGCTCTTCGCAGAAGGGTCCACATGAAACCCAAACGTAAATGGTGATAATGAGCCATTTTGATTCGGGAGAACATCCCTGACCGGGAGAAAAACAAGTGGAAAGACCCTGAGGCAAATAAACTTGTCAAGTTCAAGAAACTGAAGAAGCAAGTGGGTTGTGAACAATTGAGAGTATAAGAAGGCAAGGTTTATGGAGATGGGGAACACATGAAGTACGTAGTAGACCAGAAGTTTGGTTTTTAGTCCAAGTAAAATAACAGCTTAACATTTATTGGGCACTTACACTGTGATTTGGAATTTGAACCCAGATGGTCTGGCTGAAGAGCCAGGGCCCTAAGCAATATGCTATACTGCCTCTCAGTGAGAACTTTGTAACTTTCATGTTTCACTTTTGAAAAACAATCCATGCCCTGAGAGTCCGAAGGGAAGAGCTTGGATTTCAGACGCAGAAGAAATGGACTCGGATGCCCTTGGCTTGCACGCTTCTCTCTATGGAAGGAAAGCCTGGAAATCCTCTGACACCAGTGGGTTACCTAGGTAATGTCTGGTTAATAACGAGCCACTTTGGTCAAGGAAGTTGAGAAATAAGGTCTCAACATGAGTCACAGATGGTAAATAGAAGGGTTGCCAAGGAGGGGGGTCAAAAAAGGGCAGTAAGTCTCCTGAGAATGTTCCCATAGAAGAGGAACAACTTTTTTCCCCCCAATGTTGTTTATTTTTAATTAGCTGCTCCCTCCCACAGCAGCAGAGGGGCCCCCTCAGAGCCTGAGGTCAGGTATGTAGCCTAGCTTCTTCACCCAGGAGAAGATTTGTTTGTTTTTATAGGTTGTATCTTCTCAGGATTCCATGTAAAGTGAGGTAGCCCTGTCCAGGTAATAATAAAATCTCATCATTTGAAATAGTGCACCTGCTTTAAGATTCAGGATAATTCTGGAGTCAGTTTGGAATATTAAAAAAAAATGGTGCAGGGGTGGTAAAGTCTTTCACAAATAAAACGGTAAAAAGGGTTAATTCATACCTTTGATGAACTATAATCTCTGAAGCACTCAGGATATGAGAGAAAAGCTCATTAAGCCAGCTCAGAATTGGGGTAATAGATAGGATATCATTTATTACGAAGTTCTATATAGTGGTACTGATTCTGGCTTTTAATCTTCAGTCCAGTTATTCAGAATGTAAGAAACAATTGTGAATTGTCTAGGTGTTTCGTCCCTTACTCAGAATGCTATTTGTCAAACAAGCTGCTGAAGGGGAGGAAAGTGAAAAGTCTCAGGTCTTAAAATTTCCCTCCTCGGTGGCACCTTGGTTATAAAACCAGGGGTAGGGTGACACTGATGGAAGATATTTTGGGCATTTTTCTTTAAGTTTGTTTATTTTGAGAGAGACAGAGAGAGTGCAAGCAGGGGAGGGGCAGAGAAAGAAGAGAGAGTCCCAAGCAGGCTCTGCGCACTAAACCCACAAAACTGTGAGATAAGGACAGGAGCGGAAACCAAGATCCCAGCAGCTTAACTGACTGGGCCCCCCAGACCCCCCTGGGCATGCTTTCAAATGAGCAGTGCTTTACCCAGTGCTTTCAGATGAGGGAGGCCAGAGACAAGGTATTAGAATAGAACAGTCCAAAGTTCAGGTGAGTTGAAACGGGACTCTTAAGTCCAGTAAAACTCCCAAGCAAGGCTTGCTTTATTGGGGAACGAGGGGAGGTGGTGTTTTACAATCTTGACTTAATCATCCCCTGGGGTGACCTCTGGCTTGTCTACCCAACAGCCTCCCCAGTTCCACTTTCCCCTACACTGGCAGGGCTGAAAATACCCTTTCTTAGCCTCCCCTGCAGTTTTTGAGGAACGTGCCTTTCTAAACACTTTCTTCCATCAAATACGGTTCAAATCTGTTCACCATAGTCATGCCACATCTCTCCATCAATTCTGTAACTTTTAAGAAACACACACACACCATCAGTTAGTTGCACTGTTACCATCCCAGGTCTTAAGATAATAAAAAAGGAAGGGGGCATAGGGTGGCTCAGTCTGTTAAGCATCCGCCTTCCGCTCACGTCCTGATCTCACGGTTCGTGGGTTCGAGCCCCGCATTGGACTTCCTGCCGTCGGCACAGAGCCCACTTCAGATCCTGTCTCCCTCTCTCTGCCCCTTAACCGCTAGCGC